GTTTCTGTAACTTAAGTGAGGAGTTAAATCGACGATTCGGTTGTCTTCTGAACTATTTGTTCGCAAATATGTATATTTTCTTAAACATATGATACTGATACACGTTTGTGATAAAAAATGTTCTACCTACAACGTGTGAAATAAGGAAAAAAAGAAAAATAGTACCTTCGATGTTCCGACATTTTGTTACCGAAACGGTTCCAGTGTAATTGAGTGGATCATCAGTGAATTTTGAAAAATGTATTTCATTAGATTATAGATGATCGTGATCTTCTCTATGAAGGTATAGCCAGGAACATGTAAATATTAGAATCATTTACCAGGTTATGCAATCATACAATGTAGATAAAATAGATTTTTATCAATATACTAAATACTACCTTATGTAAAAGAACAAATTTTCAAGAGGAACTCAATTGCAAATGGCATCATAAAAAGTGTAAATAATGATAATGTTTATGCATATATTTAGTAATGTTTGTCTCTGAAGAAATAAATTGCAATCGAATTATTTATTTTGTTAGTTTTTCTTACTGTTAGGTGAATAATGCAAGATGGAAAAAGATCAAGATCAATGCACCATTCAAATCTTTGTGTACGGCAACCCCCCCCCCCATCCAGGGTGGGGATTTTGGCGTAACATTATGGCATGCTTTGACTCAAGATGGAGAATTTAACAGGCCAACATTTTTTGTTCCTGATGGAGGGGGCCTCGAACAAAGATTCAAATGGTGCATTTATCATTAACCAGTACTTGGTTTGTCAATTTTGATATGTACATGTAATTGGTAACTATAGAGGTCTGTGATAGATTAAATGCCTTATAATTTAAAACCTTCATCTGCTGAGGCCCGGGAGCTGAGGGGTGGACAAAAATCTTGACAAACACTATTTTCATTCACTCCCGACTATAAAAACTTAACAAGGCCTTTAGGAAATTACGTGAATATCGAGAGAGGAGGTATTTTGGGTAATGTCTTTGCCCTTAGCAAAACCGCATGCATGCAAAGTCCATGCGACGTACCCATGCAACACACATGCAGCAAAATTAAAACTCATTTATAAAAAACATGCAAAGTCCATTCAAATCCATGCAAAGTCCATTCATCATCCACTCAAACCAATGCAAAGTCCATGCGGCATCCATTCAAATCCATGCAAAGCACGTTAATCCACATGCAAAGTCCATGCAGGCTGCGAGAAACATTCCATGCAATGTCCATGCAAAATTGCATGCATCTGCATGTGTTTACATTTAAACAAGGCAATCCACATGCAATTTTGCATGGTCTTGCATGGTCCATGCACCATCCATTCAAATCCATACAAAGTGCATGCGGCATCTATTCAAATCCATACAAAGTGCATGCGGCATCTATTCAAATCCATGCAAAGTCCATCCGGCATCCATTCAAATCCATGCAAAGCACGTAAATCCACATGCAAAGTTCATGCAGGCTGCGAGAAATATTGTTATTGAGGGACACGCACGGTCCGTGCAAAATTGAATGCATTTTCATGGTTTTCTATCAATCCCCATTCAATTTTGCATGGATTTACATGGCCAAAATTTGTTTATCATTTTGGTCACATGAATTCCGTGAATGACATCACTGATTTTCCGGGAGAGAAACCTATAGCGCAATGTATAAATCTGAGAATGCTCATTCAGGTGAGTCACAGCTTTCTTGCGAAAATGACTGAATGGGGGACATCGGGTGCTTGTGATATCGGGCGGGTTTTCAATCCTACCTTATAACGATAAAGATAATCCCTCACAAACTAGTTGAAGATTTAGGAATTCTCTATGATCAAGTAATCTTGCCTGTTTTATAATTTTGACCATCCAGATATGGACCTACTGCCAGAAGACTCACAGTTATTCATGATAATGAAGGACCCTCTGGGTTCAGCAGTATTTATCTTCATAATCATTACAAAATACCTTATATTTTTACTGTTACTTGTACAATTGATCCAGAGACATAAAAAACACATAACACATTTATGCTTGTCCATTTTGACTGTCTGAATAGTGAATAGAAATCAAAGGCCTAAATTCATAAATAAAATAAAATTTGCCTATCTAAACTGAAATAACAACAGCAATACTTGCATTTAAAGATATGCTAGGCAGATAAGTAGGTCAGTATTACATAATCATGAAATGAATAAGTCTGAAAATACAATTAGTCAGAATGTACTAAAACCTGCTTGAAACTGAAAAACATTGCATGCTCTATTCCACACAATTTGGAGGCTCTTGAAATTCACAGTAACAATGAATAAGTGCCTGTATATAATCATTGCATAGAAAACACTTCATGTAGTGTTTATCAGATGTATTGAGTTGACCAAAATACTCATTTGTTTACTATAGACTGGACTACATACTGGCACCCTAACATATATGTTACAGTACATATTGTAGAATTAGCCCATAAGAGCTTTGCAAAATCAACATCTTATACAATCAACGTAAAAGACGGCTTGCCCAACCTTACAGGCAAACTAGTATAGACAAATTTGAAGATAAGACTGATATTGTCACATTGAATTATGATAATAAGTAAAAAATATTTTTGTAATATTTTGCACCGGTATAACCAGTCCCAGTAGAATAAAACACAGGTTTACCCTAAATTGTAGAAACATGAATATGTTTCGTATAATTAATTAATTTATGTATCCCAAGGATTTCACCTGTTCCCTTCCTGCCCAAACCTTATTTTATTTTTGATTTCTTACAATAAAGTAAACTACTCTTTTTGACATCTTATCATTTTTTATTTCCACATAATATTGACGTGAGAACTCAAATGATCACACTGAAATATGTATTCCAGCAGGCCTAGGAAAATATGGCTAGAAAAAGATGCTACACTTCTACAGGTGGACAAGTTATTCCCCCTGAAAAGTATTTTAAGGGTCAGATCACTAAATTCATGATTGTGTTGAAAAGCTGTTGAAAATGATTGTGTTGAAGAAATCATATTACTTATTACGAGTGATTATTTAGCATGTTACTGAATATCTCATCAAGTGACCTAAACTACAGCAGCTAAAATAAGCATATCGAAATATTATATATAATGCAGTATGATTCGGAGAAGGGGATTATACAGTTATAAGGGATTAGCAATTTATTTATTATCTTACAATTTAGCTCAATTCTTGAATTTGAAGATCTATTGCCATATTGTTAAAAATGCATTATAATCGATCGATCTGATGGTAAGAACTAGTATGTGATATGATCGATTTTACCTTTTTGTCGTCATTGCTGAGGAATACAATAATACCATTCCAATTAATGACAATAATACCATTCCAATTAATGATAGTTCACTTATTGTATTACTTGTGCTTGATACACATGCTGGAAGATATGCTTTTAAAATTAGTAAACCATTACCAAAACTATGGTTACCCTGTAGTAGTGAGAGGCACATTAAAAATGAATATCACCCCCTTCAATCTATATTCTTTTTCTATATTTTGCGTAACCAGGATGGTGAATTTTCTTCATTTTTCTTCAAACATTTCGCCTTACCAATATTTATTATATCTGTCAATTTCAAGAAAATCGCACCGCTACGTTTGAAAATAATTCAAATTGTGTTGTTTTTCCCATTGAGCTCCATTATAAAAATGGAATTTTCAAACTTAATATTTTGAAATTCTACGTGGTGAAAAGTTGCATATTGAGTAGTTAGTTAATGTTATGGTGTTAAAAATTGAAAACAAAAAGGAATAAAGAAAAAATGCCACAGAGAAGTCTCAATAGAGTCTCTTTAACCTCTCACAAAATAGACATGCAGAATGTCCAAGTTTGTCAGTAACTTCTGAATCTATATTTGATTGGTCATTTTCAAACTATTGTTCTAAAATTATAAAAATTACCTGAATCTCTCACAGCTGAACATTCCTTGTCAGCCATATTTCTTTTGCTTTAAAAAGCGGGAATCGTAAACCGATCATTGATGACCATGCAAATACCATGCAGTATTGCATGGACTTGCATGGATATACCAATCCCCTAGAGTATTTTATACAAGCAGCCTGCATGGTCATTGCATGGTGTTTGCATGTATGCAGATACCATGCAAAGTCCATGCGCGTTGCATGTGTTTTGCATGGTGATTGCATGGATAAGATCATTAGTCCTGTGAGTTTTGGAGTTTATCGTTTCGAAATAAGACCAAAACTCACGATTCAAATGTTGAATGAAACAAAACGGCTTTAGTTTTTAGTACGTACTGAGCTTCATTGGCTTTTTGTCTCTGTCTAATGCCTGTACCCAATATAAACTAGAATTCCAAAGGACGATTCTCGGTTTGGAGAACGAAGTTCATCAATCTAAATGAGCATTATCCTTGCTTCGGACAAATTTGATTTTTTTTACATAATATAGATTTGAATGTCTTCTTTTGAATAGTCATAATTTAATTTGGGTAATATTTCTAGGTTTTTCGCAAAAAAATATTAGCGCAGTACACTGATGAACTTTTTCCCCCAAATCGAGACTTGTATTTTATCGAATCGGTCTAATTGAGCGTTATCCCTGCTTCAGACCAATTTGTTATTTTAACATCTTGTAGATTTAATAGTCCTCTTTTGAATATTCATAGTTTAATTTGGGTAATATTTCTATATTTTTCATAAAAAAATTATTAGCCAAGGAGACTGTTCTCCAAACCGAGAATCGTCCTTTTATATTATTGTAACATTCCCTCAACTCATTGTGGTAACATGATTAGAAGATAATGTTTGCTTTGGGTTTAAATCATGAATTTCATTCTGACACGCCTAAGCAAAAAATTTATTTTGTTATACAAAGCCTATCCAGAACTTGGGCAATATCAAAACAATAAAAATTGTCTTTATAAGGAATATATCAAACGATATATTCACTCTTTGTGGCGGAGTACGCGGCAACGACACTCCATTTTTGGAGCACCTCGGGAGCCATATGGCCTTTTAAACTGACCCGTTTTACATATAAAAAAGTACACGTACATTATATATAGCTGCGCCGTGTACATACAACGCAAGTAATATCATAAACATCAGATAGAGAAAATGCAATCGAAGCTAATATAACTAAATGCATTTTTATTCTATGTAAATCAGTGTTTACTTTATATATGTTCATTTTTATTAGAAGTTGTTCACCGAACACCAGTTGGCGTTCCATTCAAATACGTTGACGTAGCCACAGCGGCCCATATGATTGCTCGAAGTATATGGCTTGCTCCCTCCCATTGTTCCACCACACGACGAATCTTGATATATGTCACCCTCCCACCCCTCTCCATTGGTTACGTAGCCCTTCACCTCAAACCAGCCGCCCTCTGCCTTGGAGCAGTCCATCTGTACGTCAATCATCCAATAATGATCGCCATAACTGGAAAATCATTTTCAAGATTTATCTGTATAATTAAAAACCAGAACTGCCTTGTGGGAGATTAAGTCACATTTGCATTGCGATGACCGCCCGGTGGCCGTAGCTTCACAAAACTGATATAAAAAATTTACATCGTACTGCTTATCCCTATGTTGTATGCAGCTTATTTCTCTGATGGATTTTGGAAGCTACGTCCGCCGCACAGTTGAGAAAGAGTCGAAGGCAAATATACAAAGCCGGCTTTTAAAGCCGGCTTTTAAAGCCGGCTTCTACAGTACATCAGAAGCCGGCTTCTGGCGTCACCAAGAAGCCGGCTTTTAAAAACCGGCTTCGAATGACTTACAGAAGCCGGCTTCTGCAGTTACCAAGAAGCCAGTTTTAAAAGCCAGATTCTCTCTCTCAATCATTTTGTTGTGCATTATGCATCTTATTCTCGTATAATTAGCATGGAAATGAGAAAAAGAATGAAAATAAGTAAAATTGTAACATATTGCAAGATTTTTTGCAAAAAGTAATTTCAAACCAAAACTATGGGGGAAATTTAATTCTAAGTAAAAATATCGATGAATTAAATCATGTTCGTTAAATAAGAGTAGATTATGCATTGCATTTCTGTTTGATAAAAACGCATCGCTCATTTTACAAAACTGGCTCCAACTTGGAGCCAGTTTGCAAATCAGCTCGCTCCATCTTACACAAGCTATGCAGGGGCAATCTAGCGACTGGGAATCACGGGATACTGTTTCATGATAATTGTTATGTGCATTATGCATCTTATTCTCGTATAATTTGCATGAAAATGAGAAAAAACTGAAAAATACGTAAAATTATTACATATTTCAAGATTTTTTGGAAAAAGTCATTTCAAGCCAAAACTATGACTGTAAATTGAATTCTAAGCAGAGATATCGATAAATAAGATCACATTCATTAAATCAGATGAGATTATACATTGCATTTCCGTTAAATAAAAACGCACCGCTCACTTTTCAAAACTGGCTCCAACTTGGAGCCAGTTTGCAAATCAGCTCGCCCCACATGACAAATGCTATGTAGGTACAATCTGGTAACTGGGGATCACGCAATACTATCTCACGATTATTTTTATGTGCATAATGCATTTTATTCTCGTATAATTTGCATGAAAATGGGAAAAAAATGAAAAATACATAAAATTGTAATATATTTAAAGATTTTTTGCAAAAAGTCATTTCAAGCCAAGACTATGAGAGAAAAATCAATTCTAAGTAAACATATCGATGAATTAGATCATGTTCACCAAATCATAACAGATTATGCATTGCATTTCCGTGTAATAAAAACGCACCGCTCATTTTACAAAACTGGCTCCAACTTGGAGCCAGTTTACAAATCAGCTCGCTCCATCTTACACAAGCTATGTAGGGACAATCTAGCAACTGGGAATCACGGGATACTGTCCCACGATCATTTCTATGTGCATTGTGCATCTTATTCTCGTATAATTTGCATGAAAATGAGAAAAAACTGAAAAATACGTAAAATTGTAACTTATTTCAAGATTTTTTGCAAAAAGTCATTTCAAGCCAAAACTATGAGAGAAAATTCATTTCTAAGTAAAAATATCGATGAATTAGATCATGTTCACTAAATCAGAACAGATTATGCATTGCTTTTCCGTTTAATAAAAACGCACCGCTCATTTTTCAAAACTGGCTCCAACTTGGAGCCAGTTAACAAATCAGCTCGCTCCATCTTACACAAGCTATGTAGGGGCAATCTAGCAACTGGGAATCACGGGATACTGTATCACGATCATTTCTATGTGCATTATGCATCTTATTCTCGTATAATTGGCCTGAAAATGAGAAAAAAACTGAAAAATACGTAAAATTGTAACTTATTTCAAGATTTTTTGCAAAAAGTCATTTCAAGCCAAAGTTACAATTTTACGTATTTTTCAGTTTTTTTCTCATTTTCATGCAAATCATACGAGAATAAGATGCATAATGCACATAGAAATGATCGTGACACAGTATCCCGTGAATCCCAGTTGCTAAATTGTCCCTACATAGCTTGTGTAAGATGGAGCGAGCTGATTTGTAAACTGGCTCCAAGTTGGAGACAGTTTTGAAAAATGAGCGGTGCGATTTTATTAAACGGAAATGCAATGCATAATCTGTTCTGATTTAGTGAACGTGATCTAATTCATCGATATTTTTACTTAGAAATGAATTTTTTCTCATAGTTTTGGCTTAAAATGACTTTTTGCAAAAAATCTTGAAATAAGTTACAATTTAACGTATTTTTCAGTTTTTTCTCATTTTCAGGCCAATTATACGAGAATAAGATGCATAATTCACATAAAAATAATCGGGAGACAGTATCCCGTGATTCCCAGTTGCTAGATTGCCCTTACATAGCTTGTGTAAGATGGAGCGAGCTGATTTGTAAACTGGCTCCAAGTTGAAGCCAGTTTTGAAAAATGAGCGCTGCGTTTTTATTTAACGGAAATGCAATGCATAATCTGTTCTGATTTGGTGAACGTGATCTTATTCATCGATATTTTTACTTAGAAATGAACTTTCTCTCATAGTTTTGGCTTGAAATGACTTTTTGCAAAAATCTTGAAATAAGTTACAATTTTACGTATTTTTCAGTTTTTTCTCATTTTCATGCAAATTATACGAGAATAAGATGCATAATGCACATAGAAATGATCGTGAGACAGTACCTCGTGATTCCCAGTTGCTAGATTGTCCCTACATAGCTTGTGTAAGATGGAGCGAGCTGATTTGTAAACTGGCTCCAAGTTGGAGCCAGTTTTGAAAAATGAGCGGTGCGTTTTTATTTAACGGTAATGCAATGCATAATCTGTTCTGATTTAGTAAACGTGATCTAATTCATCGATATTTTTACTTAGAAATGAATTTTCTCTCATAGTTTTGGCTTGAAATGACTTTTTGCAAAAATTCTTGAAATAAGTTACAATTTAACGCATTTTTCAGTTTTTTCTCATTTTCATGCAAATTATACGAGAATAAGATGCATAATTCACATAAAAATAATCGGGAGACAGTATCCCGTGATTCCCAGTTGCTAGATTGCCCCTACATAGCTTGTGTAAGATGGAGCGAGCTGATTTGTAAACTGGCTCCAAGTTGGAGCCAGTTTTGAAAAATGAGCGCTGCGTTTTTATTTAACGGAAATGCAATGCATTACCTGTTCTGATTTGGTGAACGTGATCTAATTCATCGATATTTTTACTTAGAAATGAACTTTCTCTCATAGTTTTGGCTTGAAATGACTTTTTGCAAAAAATCTTGAAATAAGTTACAATTTTACGTATTTTTCAGTTTTTTCTCATTTTCATGCAAATTATACGAGAATAAGATGCATAATGCACATAGAAATGATCGTGAGACAGTGTCTCGTGATTCCCAGTTGCTAGATTGTCCCTACATAGCTTGTGTAAGATGGAGCGAGCTGATTTGTAAACTGGCTCCAAGCTGGAGCCAGTTTTGAAAAATGAGCGGTGCGTTTTTATTTAACGGTAATGCAATGCATAATCTGTTCTGATTTAGTGAACGTGATCTAATTCATCGATATTTTTACTTAGACTTCAATTTTCTCTGATAGTTTTGACTTGAAATGACTTTTTGCAAGAAATCTTAAATTATGTTATAATTTTACATATTTTTCAGTTTTTCCTTATTTTCATGCAGATTATAAGAGAATAAGATGCATAATCCACATCAAAATGATCAGGAGACAGTATCTCGTGATTCCCAGTGGCTAGATTGTCCGTTTATAGCTTGTGTTTAATGGTGCGAGCTGATTTGAAAACTGGCTCCAAATTGGAGCCAGTTTTGAAAAACGAGCGGTGCGTTTTTATTAAACAGAAATACAATGCATAATATTTTGGAATTGATGAACGTGATCAAATTCATCGATATCCATGCTTAGAATTAAATTTACCCGTATAGTTTTGCAAAAATATGACAATATAAACTATATTCAAAAGCCATCTTCTGCAGTACGTCAGTAAGTAAAAAGCCAGTTTTAAAAGCCGGCTTCTTGGCGACTCCAAAAGCCGGCTTCTGTTGTCCTTCAGAAGCCGGTTTTTAAAAGCCGGCTTTTTGTTGACTGTAGAAGCCGGCTTCTGTAGTACGTAAGAAGCCAGTTTGTAAAATCCGGCTTCTTGGTGACTCCAGAAGCCGGCTTCTGTTGTCCTTCAGAAGCCGGCTTTTAAAAGCCGGCTTCTTGGTGACTCCAGAAGCCGGCTTCTGTAGTACGTAAGAAGCCAGTTTGTAAAAGCGGTTTTTGCCTTCGAGTACTTCTGGCACAGTTACCGTAGATACGTTTCAAGTTAAAGGACGTCAGCTCCACAGATGCCTTATCTTATTTTGTCACGATTGATCGATTAAACAAGTTAACAGATAGTAATTGTCCTAAATAATGCTTCGGGTACATTTTATCTACGGCAATTGCAGGAAGGCCGTAGCTTCCCAAATTCGAAAGATATATGCAGCATAAAATATAGGGATAGATTTTCTATAGTAGATTTTTGTGAAGCTACGACCGCCGTACAACAGCCGTAGAGCAAATATGACTGATACGTGAGATGCCCACTTACACATTAAGTGGCTGGTAGCCAGAGCTACCACTTGAGCTTGAGGTCCAGGCTGCTGGTGTGCCGTCGGCCGTCTGGCCATTGTATGTGCCCTGGCCGGACTCGGCGCCGTGCCAGTCCAGGTAGTTGTCTCCCACTCTCCATGCGTTTATCTTGTCGTAATGAGATGACGTGCCGAGGCTATTGTGACTCATAGGAATCGCACAATCGCTCGAGCTTGCTGGCCCATTTGAAGGACATCCTAAAATGATAAAGGATGAGTTGATGGGGTAGATCCAAAACTAAAACATTCATGTACATTTAGACTTACCAATAAGAGGAAAGTGCATAAAACTTAATTGTTACACCAATTGCTGAATTCATTTTCGTATTCTGTGAAAATTTCAAATAAGAAATCACAAAACTTTTGATTTTTGAGGATTTTCTCAGAACTTATTGATCAACCTGGTACATCTGGTATTTAAAGAGAATACCCGGTACATGTGGGCGTAGCCAGGCATGTGGCAGACGAGGCAATTGCCTAGCCTAAGTTACAGAAAAATATTAATTCAGACTTTTTTCAATTGAAAAAATCTTTTAGATCCCATCTACGCCATTATACAATCCTTAATTGCTGAATCTAAAGTCGTACCCCAATCAGGAGCTTTGACTACCATGATCCTCAATCCTTTATAGTCTAGATTATTTCCTACGCCCTTAGAACATGTACAATTGAACTTCTTCATTTGATACTCACTCTGTTTTACTTCACTATCGAGTCCCCCTCTTAAAAACATATCTTGTCCGTAACTAGTTTTTTTCTTGAGCATGAAGACTGTTCTTCGAAATTTACTTATATCTCCCCTGGTTGTCACACTGACAGGCGAATCTGTCACTACACCACCGTCACCACCGCTACCTTTTCCTACCTTTGAATCTAAGCAGAAGCAGATAAAGAAAAGCAAAGCCTTTATGAATAAGTCATCCGAAATGAGTCAAATAGGCTTGTATTCGCGAATGTAACTTTGACCAACTAATTTAAATATATGAATGGAATATATAGTGGCAGGTATGAGTTGCCCATAAAATAGTAAGTTAATCCGGGAGTCGAGAGCCGAAAGTTTCATTCGCGAATATACAAGTTAAGAAGAAAAATTTGTCTTATGATAATAAATATGTTTTACATGGTGTCTCACATCTAATGAGACGTTTCAGGACAACCAAAAACCACAATCGCTATGCGTCACAACACACCACCACATTTAAAGCCTTATCATGTGGATGAAGAGATCTAAACAGCATCTGATGTTCAGCTTTAAAACCCAATGAAAGACAGGGAAAAACGTTTAAAAATATATCAGGTAAGTATGGACGTTTGAGTTTTTTCTGCAATCCTCATTGGAAAAATGAGAAAATTCAGTGACCTACTTATTTCGTACGTTGATCATTAAATTTTTTCAATTTCAAACATTTTACAAGAACATTATAGTCTTCACTATTTTCTAGCAATGCACTCGCTGTGCAAAACTGAAAAATGTAGACTGTATATGGAATGAGTTATATATGTGTTCCTGAAAGTAACACGTGACTCCAATGAAGATTGCATAAAAATTCCAAGCGTACACACTAGCCTTAATATAAATGCCAAGCTCAAAGCACGATATATTGAGCACTAAACAGACCGGGTCTGATACTGTGATCAATTCCTCCACGAACAAAGATATCTTGGTTGCTGACGGTCTGCTTTTTGATAAAAATGACCGTCCTTGAGACGGTCCCTCCTGTTGGGTCGGTGGTGGTTGTCTGTCCCGGTGAGGAAGTAGTCGTTACTGTACCTCCACTCCCGACCCTAGAGTCTGACAAACAACCAAACGTAAGTGGACTATTTCAAATAAACCCAGGCCCGTAGCCAGGGGGGTTCGCAGGGTTCGGGCGGACCCCCCCCTGGCCAAAAATTCTTTCAAAATCATGTAGTTTTTCACCATTTTGAGCACTTCTCGAGTGATTTTAGCCACATTTGGGTCAAAATTGTCAAATGTGAACCCCCCCTGGAAATTTTTGAAAAATGACCCCCCCCCCCTTGGCAAATCCTGGCTACGGGCCTGAAACCCTTCATATTCTGTTCGTGTTCAACTTCGATTTACACGTACCATTATCTAAAAAGCACAATTATATGTTAATATCCCAGCAACGAACATCCAAAGAAGCCAACTCACACCTCTGCCATAACTAGAAACAACATAAAGCGTTATTGTTATTAATCCTAGACCCACCACTCCTTTGGGCGTGGTCGATGCCACCTCTAATGAATACATCCTGGCCGTTGCTTGTGGTCTTCTTAACGAATATGACCGTTCTGGAGAGTCCGCCCGGGTTGGGAGTTGTTGTTGTTGCTGAGTTACCATCGGTGGTGGTGCCCGAGCCCGGGGTTGTGACTACCACACTCCCAATCCTGGAATCTTTGAAACGGGAATCGAAGTACTTATACAATAGTACACTGCACGAAATGAAAGCCATGCTCTCCAACAGTGGGTTTATTCTTCCTTTTGAGTTGAATTGAAAATTCTTGGATATCAAAATAGAAAATAAGGTAATAAAAATACAACCAAACTCCTAAAAACTAAACAAATGATACGCATATACAGTTTTTAAAATACGACTAAATTCACAATTTACACTTTGAAGCTTAGGCTAATTGATTTCACCATGACATGGCCACAAGGAGAACCATTAATTGCGGCATTGATTTAGAAAAAACGAATCGCATGTCAAAAGTAAAACGATGAGTCGACTTACTTTCATGTATTGCAAGAACGGGGTCAGTTGATTGGGAGCTAAGGAAAACACTGGCGAAACCGTTACCATCGACGGAAACTGTTGTACCGGTGCAGCCATTTTCTGTGACATCACCAGAAATAACATCACAGTAATCACCAGAGGGCAGTCCGGTTTGCAGCCATTCGTCCATGTTATAGTCGTCGTTATTAATGGCGATGAATCCTTTGTTCCCTCTTGCGAATGCTATTTGATTGTTACCGTTGTCCCACCAATCGTTCGTGCCTTGTCCCGTGACTGCATTTCGGAACGCAACCATATTTCCAATTTGACGCCATCTGTGCTCACACATCCATCGATCTCCACAGGTTCCGTCTTCGTTGATCGGGACGTAATTGGTGTTTCCACTACCATCGGAAGGTGGTCCAATCCAATCGTTAGAGCTCGGTCCTCCGTCCCAGGAATAACTAGACATAAGTCGTGTAAAGCCGTACTCATGGGCCAACATAAATGCGTTCGCCATTTTGTACCATTTATCTACGTAAAAGGTAAGGATGTCGGCTCCACCTGCACCGTGACCTCGCTGGTTGTCATGGTTATCAATAAACACCACGGCGTTACCAGAAGACAGCATACCCCATCCTTCACCAAAATTGGAAAGACTTGAAAGTGAGAATTGTTTTCTGAATGCTCGCCCCAAATGTCCACCATAGTTAAATTCTGTGACTCTACCGATTCCTGTGTATTCGGTCCCCTTGATTGGCTCTCCGCCAAGATCGATAACTTCTTGGAAGATAAAAGGTCTTGCGCCAGAGTTAAAGTAAGCGCCATTGAGATTATTCAAGCGTCCTGCGATGTTTTGCATATCTCCAGGCCACATGTGTTTAGAGGCGTCCACACGGAATCCAGCCACTCCAATATCAATACAATAATTCAGAAAGTCCGCAACTTTGCCGCGGACGTACTCGTTGCCGAGTGCAAGATCAGTAAGACCAACCAGTCTACAGTTCCTGACTTGATTGACATCTCCATAATTCTCAATGTTACAGCCGCTCGTGCTACAACCAGCGCAGTTACAGCAGTTAAAATCGCTTGGTCCAAACGGAACTGATGGGAAGGAGAGGGCGCTGCCTGAGTCAAAATATGAGCCCCCACTTCCGGTTCCGCTCATTCCAGCTCCTGCCATGTGGTTGATAACGGCATCGACGTATATTCTGAACAGAAAACGATCCCGATGTTTAAGTAGTTCGATTTCTTAGACAAAATACAATTCTTTTATTTCATGAAACATATTAGTTCCATTTCGATCAATTTAAAACTTATTGATATGTGGATTGTGATTTAACATCAAAATTGTGATCCTTATTTTATATATGAGGAGTAAATGAACTTCTAAAGGGTTTTCAACATTGTGTCAATGGGGATTCAGCCCGACCTTTTTCAGAGAGCTTGAAAAACTTTGAAATTTGAATAAGGGTAAATAAAGACATTCAAATCAAAGTTGTTTTGATAGAAAATTACACCCAGAATTCAAATTTACCATCAAATAGAAGAAAATATCTGTCTTCAATGATTAAAATGCAATTATCATTTCATCTCAATAAAGATGACACGAGATTCTAATGGAAAAGACTCTGTTAACGCTTCTATAATTTCTGCCAAAAATAGATCAGTGGATAGGGATATGTGGTCATACCTTACACCGACATTGTTACATCGGGACACCATGTCTTTGAACTCTCCATCGTTGCCACTTCTACTGTTTAGATTGTAGCCGACAGGTTGGTAACGTTCCCACCATGGTCTAAACGGGTCAGTCACTACTCTGTGCTCATTGGCTGGTGAAACCTACATCAAAATAATGTTAGACTTAACGCAGTGCATCATCAAAACCACCGATCTTTTTTATTGTTACTTTACCGTTTTACATTTATTTCCATACCTATGACATAAACTAATTAAGCGCGCGATTTCTTTGCATCAGGTCTCATATTGAATTAATAGGAGGTTTAAGCTTGCAATGTTTTTCACAACCTAAACGTGAACGGAAAATATTGAAGCGATTCATTTGTATGGGCGATTGGTCATACGTATAGGTTGAATTGGCGTTTTGATTTTATATGCAAACTTAAACTCCCTATTGAATAATACTCTGTGAATGATGCCGAGGAGAGGGAGCTTCATGTAACGCATAGTTATCAAGCGGAGCTTGTTGCACGTTCTAGAGATATTTTTCTTTAATTTGAGCTTTACTAGAGGGTGACTCAGTTTTGCCTACTACCAACAATTCAGAATCAAGAGATTATATAGCTAGAGGGCGTGTCATGCAAACGGATGTTTCAAAGCAGATTCCCCACCTTGAAAACTAGCGCACCTTGCCCACATTGATCCAGTTTGAATTGATTAAACATCTGAAGTTGACCCTACCTGAACACCGCAGAATCCTTTTGGTCCCAGGTATCTCTCGCACTCGGCAGCAATGTCTGTCCACTTCCATTCAAACAAATGAACAATGACATGTCTGCCGGCCCAACAGTTAGGATCGTGCTGACCAAATGCAACACCTTCAATTGCAGTATATGAGTTAAGGTAACGCTGCGATTAGCTAGTATGTCACCACCAGAAGTGGTAACATATTGTAATAATAGTCTCCAACTTTTTTGTGGAAGGCGTTCTGTGGTCGCTGTCTGTCACAGCGTTCAGGGGTCGGCGTTTGTAACACGTGGCAGGTGGTGACATTTTTCATTAATGCCTCGAGAGGTTTTCTGGGTTCGATGGAACTTTAGAAACCCCGCTGAACTTATTAAGAAGGCGTGGCTCCCAAGTTCCAATGAGAAACAGATGGTCATGACCACGTGTACGTGATCATTCAATAATGTTGATTTTGACTTTGCTTTACTATTAAAATTCTAAATTTATTTTGTATAAAAAGTGTAATTACTAAATACCTGAAAATGCAAAAATGGCTGCCGCTGTCAAAAATATCATTTCAGTTCTAGAATAAGGCTCGTCGTGTTATGGTACATACCCCCTTTACGACCTTCGTATTTATAACATGGTGGAGGGAAATTGCCATGTGTGTAGGGGGCAATAAACCGTGTTACAAAATCGTGTCTTCAGTCAAACATTTATGAATTTATGGTGGGCGATAAGGTGTTGTCCAGCTTCATTATTGCAATTGCTTTATCTACAATAATATACGATCATGGCCATGGAGGCTAATATAAGGGCATAATATTTTGATGAAGTAATATATCGAAACAAGTGCAGCATAACGATCCCTTTGGACGAAGTTTTCAAGAAATAATGAGCAGATGAATAAAACGTTGGTTTTGTATTTTCTTGCTATACAAAAAACTTGTATCATAAAAAGGTGGCACCAAAGTTACCCATAGTATCGGTTACATGTTGTTTTATTATTGTTTTCATTTGATCCCTAGCATCGACACCAAAGTTATCCATAGTGCTTGTTACACGCTGTTATATTATTGTTTTCTATAATATTTGTTATTTCTTTTACTCTATCTACTTTATTCTACTCTAAAGTTTTATTTCGGCCTAAAAGTATTATTTTGCTATTTGTCCATGATTGCACTGTATTTAAGAGGATTTCTCGTGGTGCACAATTCTGCATACATGATTTAAACCATTATAGTAGACTGTATTTCTAATTTACACTCTGTTGTTTTAATATTTTCCGAGGAGTAGTGCTCCACATCCTAACTCTTGATTCATCCAAAAATCAGTGTATGCGTCGATGAACTCAAATCTAGAGATCTCGCCAGTATGATCTGCGTCGATATCTTCGAAACCATTATCAGCAACATCGTCTTTCGCCCCAAAAATCTCTAAAAAATGTTTGTATCTGTTAACGTCAATTCCCCCTTCATGATCACAGTCCAGAATATCATAAATATGTTCCGCGCAGTGGGTAATTGTGACACGCAAGTATTCTTTGTACCTCTCCACCGCAAAGTAGGTGTGAAGAATGCGGATGAATTCTTCAAGCGATATTTTGTAATCAGGCCCTTGGTCGTTTCCGGCTGTTAAAACAGTACTCCATAAAACTTCGATCAACACAAATGATAAACCATGTCGACGTAAATCACTCATCGAGCGTCCCGAAAGTTGATATCGACTCTCTATTCTTCTTATCATATCCTGAAAGTCTTCCTTCTGAATAAAACCGTCACCAGTTTGGTCTAGCGCGTTAAAACAGACGACCATTTTACGTCGCCATAGTGAAGATCCTTCCGTCATTTTTTCGATTACAGCAGCTTGGAAGGCGTTTCGTTCTTCTGTTTTTAAATAATCGTTCTTGTTCGGAACTTGACATTTATTTTTTGTCGTTTTGCCTTTGGGTTTTGATCCTGCAAAATATCAAAATATACAATTATGGTATTAAGATTTATTTAATGTTTCAACGTGTTTGTGACACATCAAACCACAGGTTAAAATCAGTGTTTAATGCTAAAAACGCCAAAGATTCGTAACATATTAGCAGCGGTTTAGTGATATACAAAACTATAGTAATGAAGACTACCTCTAGTCTGATTCTTCTAATTAAAAGTGTGATTTTTAATGAATATATTACAGAGTGAGAGTTCCCTTGTGATACAAGGAGGATTGGAAGCCAGGGTTCCAACTCGATATTCTTTAATCTCCACGCATGCGTCATTTGCTATTCGTGTCTGTATAATTTGTACGACTGCATGGAGAATGACCCGATACTCTCCAACAAAGCTATCGCTAGGTGATTGTTTTGCAGAATATCGGTGTTGCATTCTGGGAGCCAATCCTCCTTGCTTGTGATATAAACCTACGGCCCTCTTGATTTTTACATTTTTTTTATTTTCAGACTTGTGAACAAAGGTTTAAAATATATGATATATGAAATTGTATCATTTTATGTCATACTATATGCCCATTGAATATTAGTTTCTGGAATAAAAATCACAATGTTGTCACAATTTTCATTCAATTACATGAAGGAGAGTGTCAAGATTACAAATAACGATTTTATTTTGGCGAAATATGAGAAAAATGAAAAAAGGAGAATTCGAACATGACTGTATTCACACCTTCTATAAACTGTAAACAAACTCAACATTTCACCCGGGGTATATTCGCGAAGAATACCCCTGGTAGTACGTGTAATGTGTGACGTCATAACGGCGGGTCGTAGTAATGGCGGACCATAATGAATATTCGAAACATTTTGGTGAGTTTTCATGTTCGAATCGTAATATAGACCTTAGAGCAGGGGTAATATCTTCGAATACACCCATAAGGCTAGGCACAAAAGCTTTCGAACCCCTCACTCCCTTCGGTCGTTCGGGATACAGAAAACGTTTGTGCCTCGACAATATTACCCCTGCTCTTCGGAGTCGGTCTATATTTCTTAATTCGAACATGACTGTATTCACGCCTTCTATAAACCGTGAACAAAGTCAACATTTCACCCGGGGTACATTCGCGAACAATACCCCTGGTGATACGAGTAGTGACGTCATAACGGCGGGCCGTAGTACGGCGGACCATATTGAATATTCGAAACATTTTGGTGAGTTTTCATGTTCGATTCGTAATATATACCCCAGAGCAGGGGTAATAACGTCGAATACACCCCTTACGGCCAGGCACGAAAGCTTTCGAACCCTTCACTCCCTTCGGTCGTTTGGGTTGCAGAAAACGTTTGTGCCGAGCCCTGCTGGGTGTGTTGACGATATTACCCCTGCTATTCGGTCTATATTTCTTAGATAAAAGCGACTTTATCTGAATTATGCTTCTTTTTAGATTCGATAGTTAATTGTTTTTCAATCCGCTTTTGTAATCACAATGTTTAGATTTTACTCAAAAGATACATTGTAAGTATTTTACGCAGGTAGCAGTTGGTTGCATGTCGATATAAAATGGTGGGTGGGTCTCATAAACATGTCCTCAAATTACCGTTTACTCCCTTCTTCTATTAAAAGTAAACCATGAAAAAGAGTTGCATTTGAGAGGTGTGTTTCGAAATTACTATACAATCGATTACATGCACGACGTTTGTTGTAAGTGTGTGTTTCATTCACAAAAAGTACTCAGATTAGCCGCAAAGGAGTCACTATTCCGAGCACAAATAAATACCTCTCAACCATAGTCGATTGTATTCTCCACAAAACTATTTTTGAATACCTTATTATATCGATCGAATACTTAAAATAACTAGACATGTAAATTGAACAAGTTCAATTTAAGACTCCAGATTTAAAACTTTTTTTAAGCTGAGTCATCCAAAATACTGTAAGCTGAGCCATTCAGAATAAGCTGAGTCATCTAGAATACAGACATTTAGACAACTCTTAAGTAAGTTATCTTCGTCTCCATTGGCTTAACATGGGGATATCATAATATCGACTTTTCGAGACTTCAAACAACTATAAATATCTAACCAGAATTTGGGTCGAAATTTGGTTTGCAGATTCGAATTTCTGAGAAAATTCTACGTTTGTGTCATAACTCATACATTAAATTTTGAGAACTTTTTGTGTTGACCTACTTTCCGGACGCCATTCCTCAAAATCGGTAAGAGTAATCAAAAAAGACAGTTACAATAATGAAAGGACTGTCTTTAAGCTACATGATGAAAGAAAGATAAAGGAATAACGACGAATAGTGACAAAGATAATTGACATAACATGGGATATCAAAATACCAATTTTTTAATTTTTCAAAACGCCATTACTTCCAAACCGAGTGTCGGATTGAAATTTGATTTGCAGATTCGGATTCCTGAGAAAATTCTACCCTTAATTCATAACTCATACGTTAAATTTGGAGAAACTTTCATGTTGACCTACTTTTCGGACACTATATCTCAAAAGTGGGTCAAAATACTTTCTGACGGCAAAAGGCTAACACTATTAGCACACTCTTTGCTACCTGTATCCAAAATTTTGAAGCAAATAATTAAAGTGTAGTGTCAGAATCGCAAAAATAAGTTAAAACTATAAATTTGACCTAGATTTTGACCTAGGCATTTTGGTGTCCAAATTGTGAAGCTAGCTAGCTTTTGAGGTCCCTTTTTTTATAGGCTTTCATTATGAAAAGCTGTACTTAGTCTATATCTCGTATTTTACACTTCAAAAAAATCTTTTTCCCATTGCCATAACATGGGGCACCAAATTTAGCGATTTTTGAGCTTTCAAAACGACATAACTTCCGAACCAAAAGTCGGATTGAAATTTTAATTGTAGATTTGGATTCCTGAGAAAATTCTACCCTAAATTCATAACTCATACGTAAAATTTGGAGAACTTTTTAGTTTGACCTACTTTTCGGACACCATATCTCAAAACTGGGTCAAAATACTTTCTGACGGCAAAAGGCTAACACTATAAGCACACTCTTTGCTACATGTATACAAAATTTTGAAGTAAATTATTAAAGTGTAGTGTCAGAATCGTAAAAATAAGGAAAAACTATGAATTTGACCTAGATTTTGACCTAGGCATTTTGGTTTCCAAATTTTGAAGCTATGTAGCTTTTGAGGTCCCCCTTCTTTTATAAGCATTCATTATGTTTAGCTGTACTCAGACTATATCTTGTATTTTACACTTCGAAAACGTCTTTTTTCCCATTGACTTAACATAGGCACCAACTTTAGAGATTTTTGAGCTTTCAAAACGCCATAACTTCCGAACCGGAAGTCCGATCTAAATTTGGTTTGCAGATTCGGGTTCCTGAGATCATTCTACACTTATTTCATAACTCACATGTTGAATTTGGAGAACTTTTTGTTCTGACCTACTTTCCGGACGCCATATCTCAAAATCGGTAAGAGTAATCAAAATTCTGATGTCATATCTTCGATTCGCCTTTTTCTAAGCTACACGATGAAAAATAGATGAAGGAGTTACGAAGAATATTCACGAAGATATGATGAAGAATGTTGAAAATGTAAGATTTGACCTAGTTCTTGACCTTTGACCTAGATAAAAATTTGACCTAATTTCCCAGAAAGCCGGATACAGTCTTTAGTTCACCATGTAAGTTGGATTAAGTAAGATGTTATAGTTGGAGAGAAAATCTGTTAGGAGGAAGAAAGAAAGAATAACTAGATTTGTGAAATTGAACAAGTTCAATTTAAGACTCCAGATTTATTTGACCTAGATTGATCAGTAAAGAGCTGAGTAAGTAACTGAGTAATTAGCTGAGTAAGTGCCTTAGTAGTCGTTGAGTAAGTAGCTGAGTAAGTAACTGAGTAAAAAGCTGAGTAGGTAGCTGAGTAAGAAGTTGAGTAAGTACCTGAGTTAGTAGCTGAGTAAGTTGCTAAGTAAGTAATAACTAATTAAGTAATTGAGTAAGTAGTCAAATAAGTAGCTGAGTAGGTAGAGAGGTAAAGTAGGGTATGCAGGAATTTTTGAAAGTATATTTGATCAATCTGCATCGTGAATACTGGCAAGTGCGAATTTCAAACTTCAAAATGGCGTAGAATCTAAACAGGGGGTCGGATTGCAATTTTGGTTTCAGATCCGGATTCCGGGTGTCTACAAAACTAAGACCTAAGACCTACAAAACTAAGACCCCCCACGTAATAAAACTAAGACCCTGTTATAAAACTAAGACCCCCCACGTTATAAGACTAAGACCCTGTTATAAAACTAAGACCCCCCATGTAATAAAACTAAGACCCTGTTATAAAACTAAGACCCCCACGTTATAAAACTAAGACCCTGTTATAAAACTAAGACCGCCCAAGTAATAAAATTAAGACCCCCCCACGTTATAAAACTAAGACCCTGTTATAAAACTAAGACCCCCCACGTTATAAAACTAAGACCCTGTTATAAAACTAAGACCCCCCACGTTATAAAACTAAGACCCTGTTATAAAACTAAGACCCCCCACGTAATAAAACTAAGACCCTGTTATAAAACTAAGACCCCCCACGTTATAAAACTAAGACCCTGTTATAAAACTAAGACCCCCACGTTATAAAACTAAGACCCTGTTATAAAACTAAGACCCCCCACGTAATAAAACTAAGACCCTGTTATAAAACTAAGACCCCCCACGTTATAAAACTAAGACCCCCCACGTTATAAAACTAAGACCCTGTTATAAAACTAAGACCCCCACGTTATAAAACTAAGACCCTGTTATAAAACTAAGACCCCCCACGTAATAAAACTAAGACCCTGTTATAAAACTAAGACCCCCCACGTTATAAAACTAAGACACTGTTATAAAACTAAGACCCCCCCACGTAATAAAACTAAGACCCTGTTATAAAACTAAGACCCCCCACGTTATAAAACTAAGACCCTGTTATAAAACTAAGACCCCCCACGTAATAAAACTAAGACCCTGTTATAAAACTAAGACC